TTCCATGCTTTGGCCCAGAGTTGCAAAGGGTTCCAGCTGTTTCGAACCGGAACGGCACCTGAGCACCAGGGTTCAGGGTTCAGGGTTCAGGGTTTAGGGTTTAGGGTTTAGGGTTTAGGGTTTAGGGTTTAGGGTTCAGGGTTTAGGGTGTAGGGTATTTTTAGGGACCCACTGGGGATGTCCGAGCATGGGAGTTGATCTGACTTACGAACCCTGCAAGACCAAAGCGGAACCACAATCGGGACCAAACGCCAGCCCAAGGGCGGAGGCTGGAAAATTCTGGTTCAGAGTTTAGGGTTTAGGGTTATGAGGAACCAGGACAGCTGCTCGTAGGGAGGTTGAATCCTTGCTTTGGATTCACGAATTGTGAGTTACATGAGGCTCTGTTTGTGGGCAGATGAATGGGGGGGGGGGGGTGCTTCAGAACATAGGAGTAGGTTCTTCTACACAGGATTCTCGTATGTTTGGGGAGGTATATTGGCGTACCCCTGTTTTGGGCAATGCCCATTTACAACATGGCCTTAGTGCGGCGCTTTTGAGGGTGTGCACAGCTAGGCTTTCTTCCCAATACCGGCTTCCTAAACTCCGTGAAAGCAAACCCCCCCTTTTCGGCTCGATATGACGGGGCTTCAATGAGGCACGAACAAAGGGTATGGGATGGAAGCGGTTCATCTGGTCGACAACTCTCCTTCGCACCCTTCCCCACTTCTGAGGGCGGCACGAGGACAGAACAGCACAAAGACATGTGTCAGCCAAGTGTTGGTCTGCCAGTCAAGCTTGATCCGTTGTCAGCACCGCCACTGGCTGGTGTGACTTCATGGGCTGCTCAGCTCTACTTCATGACGTGCTCACAAGAATCCGTAGTGTACCAGCACCTGAAACCATGCACCAACTATGTTGGTCAAGTCCATAAAGTAGTCGTGTGCGTGTGCCCAGACTCCTTTCGAAGAGGCATTCGCTCCTGTCGTTGTGACGGCGTGCCCAGCAGCAGCATGCGCGTGCGCCGCAGCAATGCTGCAAGAGGCGTGCGCAGAGACGCTCTGCCCAGCATGCAAAGTGACAACCACAAGAACTGTGCAAGTTGGCTCAGGCATGATGCACGAAGCAACCGCTTGACAAGTTGACAGGGCGTCTCGAGCCAACAGGAAGAGCAACAAACAAGTCCGACTTTTTGCACTCCCTTAATTAATTAACATCAAAGCATCAGTTGTCGCTAGATAAGGGGCATGTTTCTTGTGCGTCAGTACCACCTTCCCCCGGCCAGGCCCCGCTGAATATGCAGAGCACCACAAACCCTGAAGCAGGGAATACGCTTTAGTTCATAGGGACCCCGAAACCCCGAGTTAGTTTAAGGTATAGTCCTTCTTAAAGGGTTACCTGCAGGATTTCCCTAGGGTCTACACAGGGTGTAGGGTTCCCAGCAAGCAAACCAGGGACGTTCGGGCTTGAGAGGGTCGGGGTTTAGAGTTTCCGGATTTAGGGGTTAGATTGGGATGTTCCCCCTTATACCAACAGCCCTTCATAGAGACTATAGTACCCCCCTGCTACCCTATAATCATACCTATGAAGGGCTGTTAGAAAAAGGGAGAGCATCCCAAGGTTCGGAGTTTGCGAAACGCCCGCTTTTTGATTCGGTCACTGCGTTTGCTCGCTCTCATCCGGCGCATAGCAAGGTAGCCTGCGACAAGCACAGCAATCCCTAAACCCTAAGCCCTAAGCCCTAAACCCCAAGCCCTAAACCCTAAACCCTAAACCCTAAACCTTAAAGGAAGCTCCCATATTGGCCACTGTTCTTCTTCAAGGAGCCCGGGGAGGGGGCTCAGTGAGGGGTCACCTCTTATGTTTCAAAGAGTCTTTATGGCGTCGGAGTACGACTTCTACCCTGGCACGAAGGGCCTCGCTTGGGTTTAGAGTTTAGGGCTTGGGGTTTTGGGTAAATGTAATGAATATCGTTCTACTCTTTTGAACTTCCCAGAAAAATGCGTCTGGGAGAATTCTGGGGAGGCCCCATGTGGCTTCTAGGCCCAAGGCACGCCCTTCCCGCAAATCTGGGGCACCCTTTTGGGGGGGCACCATGATCAGGATGCTTTTTGGGTGGGAATGTTTAGTGGGGGGGGGGGGGGGGGGGATGAGCCCAATGATAGGAAATACCCACTTGAGGCACTTGAGGCGGCCTTCTGGTTGAGGGGTCGCAGGTGGGTCTACAAGGGGGGTGTGATGAGACGCCCTAAACCCTAAACCCTAACCCCTAAACCCTCACCCCTAAACCCTAAACCCTAAACCCTAAACCCTAAACCCTAAACCCTGGTCAAAAGCGCCCCCACATCCACGCTGGGCCTCTCGGCGCACTCCTCGGCTTCATAAATAGGGAAGTGGAGAGCTAGGCACCTCACATCCCCCTGATCTACCCCCTGCGACGGACTTTTGTACTTGAGACGAAGAACCAACGAGTAACCCTAAACCCGAAACCCTAAACCCGAAACCCCAAAACCCGAAACCCTAAACCCTAAACCCGAAACCCTGAACCCTGAACCTTGGGATGTTCCCCCTTATCCTAACAGTCCTCAACAACAATTATGATGGGGAGGGGTACCAGAATCCCTACTAAGGACGGTGAGTAAGGGGGAACATCCCAACCTGAACCCTAGACTCTGAAAGCTTGAAAGTTTGGATCTCTGGGTCTCTGCGAGACTCTACTCGCGGTCGCATGTGGGGGTTGCCGAAAGTGGGGGTACCTTATTGTGGTCCTCTATCTTTAAGGGATTCCTTCTCTTGGGGGGTCTACTAGCGGGGTCCCCCTATCTTCGTAAACTCCCACATCCCAACAAGTGCAGCCAAGAACCTCAGCAACACATACTCCAAAAACCCAGCTTCAAATTTGCAAAAGGTTCATAGAGTTTGGGGACCCTGACCCTAAAAAAAACGGGGTGCAGTGCTTACACATAGGGTTTGGGGGCTCAGGGAGAAGACCTAGAGGCCCGCCTGACTTGTTGAGGCCAAGGGGCATCCTTCGCGCGGAGCATGCCTGTCATAACAGGGTTTAGGGTATGGTGTTTAGGGTTGAGGGTTCAGGTTTCAGGGCAAATTATTCATACTAAAACGATGATAAGAAGAAGAAGAAGAAGAAGAAGAGCAAGAAGAAGAATGTGTTGATTCCCCTGTGGGTTTTGTTTGCAACCAGAACAAAACCATCATTCCTAAGGAAACTTTTGTCATGAGACGAAAAAGGGGGCGGATCCAAGGGCGTGTTTAGGGTCCCTGGAAGTTATGTAGGTTAGGGTTCGGGGTAGGCAAGCAACATTCTTAACCCTCGCACCTGCCCTTATTTTGGACTCCACTGAAGAACCCTTGAGCTTTGGGTATCTCAAGGGTGTTGGGGCCCTCCTGCCTACTTGGTTCATAGGTCGTTTTGTTGCAAGGTACAAGTAAGGTATCCGACAGGATCGCCTTGAGAAAAGACGCTCAGAACCCTTCTAAGCTACCATTGAACCAGCACATGTAGGGCGCTCATGCTTTTGCCTTTGTAAAGTCTACGTCTAAGGGCAGTCGTTTGTGATAGAGATGCTTCGTTATCACGTCGCTCTCCGAATTCCTGCGAGCTATCTCAACCCCAGCAGCAACCCACATGTCCTCCACCCTAAACCCGAAACTCTAAACCCTAAAGCCCAACACCCTTCAGTGACAGGCCGGGGGCACAGTGCACCCCGTTGCCGGACGCATCAACCACGAAGGAATCTTGACAGAGGTTGTCGGGGACCTCGGCCACAGACCCCAAGAACCCGAAGGGTTCTTTAGGGTTTAGGGTTTAGGGTTTTGGGTTTAGGGTTGAGGGTTTAGGGTTGAGGGTTTAGGGTTTAGGGTTTACCCCAAGAACCCTAAGAACCCTAAGAACCCTAAGAACCTCAAGAAGAAAACCCATAGACCCCAAGAACCCTAAGAACCCTAAACCACAACCCTAAACCCTAAACCCGAAGAATCGTAAGAACCCCAACAACCCTAACAACCCTAAAAGCCCTCAGAGCCCTCCGAGATGGCGCTTCGAGCCAAGGAAATGAAGCCATGAAGCCGCAAACAGCTTAGTAGCCCAGTAACCATATTATCATAGGGGCACCCTTTTCTTGGTTGGTTACTTTATAAGGGAACCCAGAACCAAAAGAAGGGTAAAGGGTACCACTGGGCTACCGAGACAGGGACCAGGGCCAAGTGTGGTCCAGGGTTCAGGGTTTCGGGGGTTTGGGGTTTAGGGTTCAGGGTTTGGGGTTCAGGGTTTAGGGTTTAGGATTCAGGGTTTGGGGTTTAGGGTGAGGATTCAGGGTTTAGGGTTTAGGGTGATTCAGGATGTGGGGTTTAGGGTGAGGATCCAGGGTCTAGGGTGTAGGGTGAGGGTTCAGGGTCTAGGGTTTGGGGCTTAGGGTGAGGATTCAAGGTTTAGGGTTCAGGGGGCTTGGGGGCTTGGGGGCTTGGGGGCTTGGGGGCTTGGGGGCTTGGGGGCTTGGGGGCTTGGGGGTTTGGGGGTTTGGGGTTTAGGCTTGAGGGTTTGCGGCTTTGCGGCTTTGGGGCTTTGGGGCTTTGGGGCTTTGGGGCTTTGGGGCTTTGGGGCTTTGGGGTTTGTGGCTGGGATGGTTTGGGGTGTGGGGGGGGGGGGGGGTCCTTTCCGAATTTGGGGTTCGGAGGCTCAGGCTTTGGGGGTTTGGGGTTCCACTGCATTTCAAAACAGGAATAGCAGAGCAGAGATGCCCTCTAAACACGAGCCTGGCCTTTCAAAGAAGGCTTGCGGATGGTCATAAGTAGGATATCTACGTAAGGAACCTTACGGCGAACTGCATGACAGGGAGGGAAAGAGGAGTGAGAGAGAGAGAGAGGTGAAAGCAAGAGAACAACAGAGAGGGAAAGGAGCGTGGGGGGAGGCGGGGGGGAGAAGGGGAAACCGAGTAAGGGACGGGGAGGCACACGGCCACATGGGCCGTTTCTGCCGAGTGCTGCGTTTTTAAGCTCCACTGCTACGGGTTCATCAGCAAATCATGCACAGCACTGCTGTCCCCCCCACACTCAGCAAAGCCCCAGGTCACCAGAGAGCCATGACCAAGGATGGCGGCAAAAGCCATGCGGGTAGCTTGGATCAGCTGCACGTCCTTCAACTGACTTTGCACAGCGCTGCTGTCGCCCCCAAAGGGAGCATATCCCCAGGTCACGACAGAGCCATCGCCCAAAATGGCCGCGAAAGCCGCATGGTTAGCTTGAATGTGCTGCACGCCCTTCAGCTGACCTTGCACGACACAGCTGTCGCCACCACCCTCAGCAAAGCCCCAAGTCACAACAGAGCCATCACCAAGGATGGCGGCAAAAGCCTTTTCGGTAGCTTGGATCTGCTGCACGTCGGTCAGCTGGCCCTGCACAGCCCTGCTTTCGCCGCCACAGCGAGACTCGCCCCAAGTCACAACAGAGCCATCGTCACGAATAGCGGCAAAAGCCGTTTCGGTAGCTTGGATCTGCTGCACGCCCTTCAGCTGACCCTGCACAGCGCTGCTGTCGCCGCCGCAGTGAGAATTACCCCAGGTCACCACAGACCCATCGCCGAGAATGGCAGCAAAAGCCATCCGGGTAGCTTGGATCTGCAGGACATCCTTCAACTGATCTTTCACGGCACTACGGTCGCCACCACAGCGAGACTCGCCCCAGGTGACAGCAGACCCATCACCCAGAATGGCAGCAAAAGCCATGTCGTCAGCTTGGACGTGCTTCACGTCCTTCAGCTGACCGTGCACAGCACTGCTGTCCCCCCCAAACTGAGCGTAGCCCCAGGTCACAACTGACCCATCGCCCAGAACGGCAGCGAAAGCCGTCCGGGCAGCGTGGATCTGGCGCACGTCCTTCAGCTGGTCTTGCACAGCACAGCTGTCACCACCACAACGAGAACTGCCCCAAGTCACAACAGAGCCATCGTCACGAATGGCGGCAAAAGCCGTTTCGGTAGCTTGGATCTGCTGCACGCCCTTCAGCTGAGCCTGCACAGCACTGCTGTCGCCGCCGCAGTGAGAATTACCCCAGGTCACCACAGACCCATCGCCGAGAATGGCAGCAAAAGCTGACCCATGGACCCGAGGCGCAGCAAAAGCTTTGGAGGTTTGGATCTGCCGCACATCCTGCAGCTGATCTTTCACAGCACTGCTGTTGCCACCGTAGGCGGCAGCACCCCAGGTCACAATCGACCCGTCGCCGAGAATCGCGGCAAAAGCCCGTCCAGTGCCTCGCACGCGCACGCCGCTCATCTGCAAGGTCAGTGTATCACCGCTCTGCAACTTGCATTCCTCAAGCGTGGCCTCTCCATTGAGAACACCTCGGGAGGAGAAGAGCCTGCCCCTTCCAACTGCCAAAGACTCCTGTGCTCTCCCGGCCAGTGTTTCTACGGACTCATCCGGTCTGGCTTCAACTGAAACCGTCCTGCCACTTAGCAGGCTCACCTCAATCGCAAGCGACATGATTCTACACCGCCGGGCCCTCACTGCTTCACAGTGCCACTTGAACACACGACTTGGTTTTTTGAGGTGCATCTGAGGTTAAAGTTGTCTGAGGCTGGCGAGAGCCTGTAGATTTGCGGCTCGGCCTAAGAAGAATATGCTCAGCAAATTGCCTGGGGTCCTTATCTTTTCCTGGCTTTGGGGGCCCCGCCCAAGATGGATCTAGGGATGTTGGGAACTTCAGGGCTTTTCAGGTTTAGGGTTTACATCCCTAAACCCTAAGCCCTAAGCCCTAAGCCCTAACCCTAAACCCTAAACCCTAAACCCTCAACCCTAAGTTAACAAGGATATTTGGGGAAGGATGCGGAGCTTAGGGACACGTCTCCCGGCTTCTGGCAAACCCTGAACCCTAAAAGCCTAAGGTGTAGGGTTGTTAGGGCTTAGGGTTAAAGACAAAAACACGAGCCCATATCGGCAGGGTCCGTTTCAGAAGTCCGGTGGGGGTCTAATGAGGGACACATCGAGGTCCGGCCATAAAAAAGCGCGGAGGCCTTGGGGCTATTTTGGGGTTTCTAGGGTTGCCCTCTATGGTACGACATCTAGGTGTTGACAGGGCGATGCTGGCAGCATTAGCCTGAACATCCCCTGTAACATTCAAGCCACTTCCTATGTCTGAGGGCTAAGGGTTTCGGGCTGACAGAGCGTTTCGCCATGGCTGCGTCAGGCATGGTCCACGTGCAAATCAGCCGCTCCACGCCCCCGCCCCCGCCAACCCCAAAAAGCCCGAACCGCCTCAGAAATGGATGGGTTCAGGGTTCACGGGTTGGAGTTAGGATGTTGAGAATTAAGGCTTTAGAGATTACAGGGCTTTAGGTAGCCTTTAGGATTTCGGGGTTTGGGGAGTTAGGGTTTAAGATTTTTGCAGAAACTTCGGGGCACGAGAGCAGTGAGGCCGGGACCTGGGCGCAGCTGCCGTAGGTGCCGGCCTTCTTCCCCCAGCACCGGATGTTGCCTTGAAGGAGCTCGGCCCCGCGGCTTCTTCTACATTGGGGGGTGGGGGGGGCCTTCTGGAACGCTAAAAGCTCCAGTAGGCGTGGAACCCTGAACCCTAAACAACCCTAAGCCCTAAACCCTCAAGCTCCCTTTGGTCGTAAGTGGGCTTGGCGGGAGGGCAGGGCACTTCAACAGTCCATCCCACCCCCTTGAGCTCTTAAGCTGCTTATGTAGCTTTTTTGAGGATCGACCAACTCAACTTCGTTCGTCCCCTTCACGAATCTTTCACTGCCCGGCAATGTCAGTGAAGAGTCGAATTCCCCGTAAAAGCTGGCAGAAGGTTGAAGGTTTAGACGCCCAACGCCGCCCAGTGGCAGCGCTCTCCGGCTGCACACCCGCCTTCGGATGGCCTGCGGATCCCCGCGAAGGGGGGATTTCCAGAGCTAGCTTCCAAGAGAGGGAGAAGTCAAAAGATGAACTAGCAGGTGCATGAAGAACCTAAGCTAGAAAGACTCATGGCGCCTTCAAGCTATTGATAGCAGAATCGGGGTGTTTAGGGTTTAGGGTTCAAGGCCACGAAGGAGCTGTCTGCCGGAAAGGCTGCACTTCCCCAATCATGGCAAAGGCGTTGCGCCCGACAACGGGTTGAGCACAATCTACACTCTCATATATGGGTATATCCAGATTTACAGTAGAGTCATACACTTATCGATACTTATGGTATATAGATGCTGAGATTCATATATGCACGCATTTAGGCACTTTCTTCTCGCTTTTACCTAATGATTCCTGTCCGTCTCTTTGTTTAGATCACAGGACCCTAAACCCTAAACCCTAAACCCTAAACCCTAAACCCTTAAACCCTAAACCCTGACTCTGGTACACCCTGAGGTGCGGACTTGCACTGCTGGAACTCGCCTGGCGATGGGGAGGTTCAGATTTTGGGGCTCTAAGAGGATTGGGGAGGGCCGATTTAGGGTTTGGGGTTTAGGGTTTAGGGTTTAGGGTTTAGGGTTTAGGGTGAGGATGAGGCCTCTGCTGTTGGCAGGATGGGAGATTTCGATTGGCTGCTTCGGCTCGAGCCTGAACCCTGTCGGGAATGGCTGGGCTTGCTGCGCAGCTGAGATATTTCCCTGACCGTACACCCTCAACCCGAAGCGTTAAGCATGCTTTGCGTCCATGACAGGATGGGGGAGGGGGGGGGGGTGCGCGGGCAATTAGGGGAACTTATGCTTGGATTTGCCATGGGATGAGTCGAGAGTGCCCGCGTGCTGGCACTCAGCCCTTTTGGCTGAGGTTCAACACCCTTTATTGAAGGGATTCTTATAAGAGCTAAGGGCCCATACTTCAGAAGGGCAGGCACCAAATTAAGGAACCATGTAACGACCCTCAGACTCTCCGGGGGCCACAGGGCCTTAACCCGAAACCCTAAACCCTAAACCCTGAGCGCCCAGCCTTGCCTCGTTTTGGGCAGGTGTGGTACGTCTTTAGGCAGGTGACCTGAGGGTTCCTATCGTGGGCTCCTATAGGCCTTCTTAGGGCTTAGGGTTTAGGGTTTAGGGTTTAGGATTTTAGGGTTTAGGGTTTAGGGTTTAGGGTTTAGGGTTTAGGGTTTAGGGTTTAGGGTTTAGGGTTTAGGGTTTAGGGTTTAGGGTTTAGGGTTTAGGGTTTAGGGTTTAGGGTTTACGGTTTAGGGTTTAGGGTTTAGAGTAGGTTGGAGGCAATCCATGTCAGGAAGCAGAGGCAGAACCAATCCGAGCCGAGCCGAGCCGAAACGACTGCCTATGTAGTCGTGACGCAGCAAGCCGAAGCAAACCCAGGAGTTCTGCAAAAGAAGCGAGAACCAAGTTTAAGGCACAACCAAAAGAGGAAACTGAAGGAATACATAGAAGAGAACAATTTAAGTGAAGCAGATTTGACCCCTACGCAAATTTGCCGAAATCATTACTGATAAGAAACCAAACGGGAAAAAGCGTGGAGCTCCCAAATACGAAATGAATGTACACAAAGTGATTATGCCCAATTTTTTGAAATGATGATTCAATTAGTTACATTTTATATGAGCGAGAAGCAGAAAATCATTAATGGTATGTTTTTGATAAAGCTGGTTTCGGGAGTAAGTCCAGAACACTCGCGGAAGCACGGGAGAAGACAAAACTATAAAACAGTGGAGCAACAAAGAAAGCCAGTAGGCCAAAACATTTTTATCGCCCCTCATTCCGCTTATGATTATCAGATGGATTTGGTTTCTATAACACGACTTGAAAGAACAAAAGCTCAAGGTAGGAGTTTTTATGATTGACGTGTTTTGAGAATTTCATGCACCTCGTGCCGAAAAAAACAAGAAGGAGATGTAGCGAGTGGAATGATTGAGTGTTTAAACAAGATGGGTAAGAAGCCCCAAATAACCTAAAAACAGATGATGAAGGCGCATTGACTCAGGAGGCAATCCAAAAGTACTTGAAGGATGAGAACATCGAACATCATAGAACGAGGGCACACCCAAATTTTGGCGAAAGAGCCATCCGCACTTTTAACGATGTGTTGTATAAGAGAGTTGAAGCCGATGAAAATTGGGAAAAGAAAACATCCAATGGCCAGATTACATAATTGAAATATTACTAGTCTATAATAATCAAATGAACTCGGAAACGGGACTTTCGCCGAAAGAAGCCCGAAAACCCAGTCATCAGTTCAAAGTGCAGTAAAATCTCACAATGAAAGGAAAGAAGAACCGTGTTTATTTGAACGGCTGAAGGTTTGAGCAGCGCTCTCCAGCGATTTCTGCATGGTCAGCGGTTGGGCACATCACACTTCCCATGACAGTCTCCAAAGCAGACGAGCTGACCATCCGTCCGCACTGCGCAAGTATGAGAACCACCCGATGAGACTGCCAAAACCGGTCCCAAATCTTCTGGCACGTCACACTGCCCAGATCCATTCTCTCCAATGCAAACGAGCTGACCATCTGCCCGCACTGCACAAGTATGAGGATAACCCGCTGAGACTGTCAAAACTGGTCCCAAGTCTTGCGGAAAGGCAGGACACCGAATTCCGTTGCCTCCAAAGCAGACGAGCTCACCATTTGCCCGCACTGCGAAAGTCCAAGCAGGGCCCGCTGAGACTGCAACAACTGGTCCCAAATCTGCTGGCACGTCACACTTCCCAAATTGGTTGTTTCCTAAACAGAAGAGCTGACCATCTGCACGCACTGCACAAGTATGATAATAACCCGATGAGACTGCCAAAACTGGGAAATCTGGCACGTCCCATCCGATGCGTTCCCAGCAGACGAGCTGTCCATCTGCCTGCACTGCGCAAGTATGCAATTCACCCGCTGAGACTGCCAAAACTGGTCCCAAATCTTCTGGCACGTCACACTGCCCAGATACATTGTCTCCAAAGCAAACGAGCTGACCATCTGCCCGCACTGCGCAAGTATGAGAACGACCCGCTGAGACTGCCACAACCGGTCCCAAATCTTCTGGCACGTCACACTGCCCAAATTTGTTGTTTCCAAAACAGACGAGCTGACCATCTGCCCGCACTGCACAAGTATGAGAATCACCCGCTGAGACTGCCCAAACTGGTCCCAAATCTGCTGGCATATCACGCTGCGCATGTTCGCTGAACACGCGGCAGGCTGACAGGCCATTCTTCCTAAGCATACAATCGCTGGAAACTTGAACATTTCCGGAACGTGGTGAGAATGCGGAAGTCCCAGTCCGTCTGTACACATTGCTGGACCATGACCTGACGCGTTGAAGCCGTGGCCGCGCGAAACGTGCCTGACCCAGCGCGGGAAAGCACCAGAAGCCAGGACGGATTGCAAGAAACAACAGGAATGCAGCCCTTCGCATCCAGGAGCTAGCTGTCATGGCCATGGAGAGATGGGCGCAGGAAGCAATGCTGCACAGAGGGCACGATTGAGGCTGCAAGAAGGGAATCTAGACAAGTACAGGAAATTCCCCCATTTATCGGACTTGGGGGGTCAATTTCGGGGAGGCCTGCCCCTCTTTTCTGGAGCTCGAGTTGCCACATTCACAAAACACTGAGTATCCTGGTAACCACCAGCCCCACCCTGTCAACGGTACTAGGGAATCATGCCCTTTCGAACGTGGGAAGGCCTGAACGCTAAAGCCTGAACCCCAAACCATAAACCCTGCAAAAGATGATTCTTGGGATGCTCCCCCTGAAACTACCCTAAACCCTAAACCCTAAACCCCCCCTACTAGGGACTACAGTACCCCCTACTATAATCCCGATTAAGGACTGTTAGTAGAAGGGGGAACATTGCAAGATGGCTCCAAAGTGACTGCAGCCGTACCCCCTAAACCCTACACCCTAAACCCTAAACCCTATACCCTAAACCATCCAAACCCCGTAAACCCCCTAAACCCCCTAAGCCCCCTAAACCCCGTAAACCCCCTAAACCCCCTAAGCCCCCTAAACCCCGTAAACCCCCGAAACCCCCTAAGCCCCCTAAACCCCGTAAACCCCCCCTTAAACCCCGTAAACCCCCTAAACCCCCTAAGCCCCTTAACACCCCGTAAACCCCCGAAACCCCCTTAAGCCCCCTAAACCCTCTTAAGCCCCTAAACCAGCGTAGGCCGCGGACGGACTTTGAGCAGGGGTCGGCCAGAGTTTCGCCATCCTGGCGAAGGTGTGTGGCTTATAGCGGCCGGGGTCTGGAGTTTAGGGTTTAGGGTAACTGGTATCGGGTTTAGGGTAACTGGTTTAGGGTTTAGGGTAACTGGTACGGGGTTTAGAGTGGCTTGGGGTGCGGGGTTTTAGGGTTCACAGCCGCGACTAGGACAGCCTTCTGTTAAGCCTGTAAGCGGCCCACCTGTCCTTCTCAGGGCGTCAGGAGGAACCCCCCAAGCCTTGCAACTAAACCCTAAACCCTAAACCCTAAACCCTAAACCCTAAACCCTAAACCCTAAACCCTAAACCACACGGACAATACCAAAAAAGAAGACTAGTCGAACTCCAGTCACAATAATCAACAATCATGACAATTACCCTAAAACCCTAAACCCTGAACCCTAAGCCCTAAACCCTTAATGACAACTACACAACCAATAATCATCACGTCACCAGACGAAATTGATTTAACCCCTCGGCCCATGACATAAAGGCTTAGGGTTGAGGGCTTAGGGTTCAGCGTTACGAGTGGACAGCTGCCGTTCATACGAGCCTCTTGACAGACGGCATAGGGCTACAAGACTCTTCTAGGCATGACAAAGGAGGCTGACATGATCCCGGATGCGACCCCGCCCAGATGCAGTCCTGCACGCAGCTAAGCATCGTGCCCTGGCATTCCTAGGATCCGCCAGGATGAAGATTGGGCTCAGGGGGGTCTTCGCGGCCTTAGGAGCCCTGAAATTGTCCTCAAGGTTCAAAGACAAACTGCGGGTTCAGGGTTTAGGGTTTAGGGTTTAGGGTTTAGGGTTTAGGGTTTAGGGTTTAGGGTTTAGGGTTTAGGGTTTAGGGTTTAGGGTTTTGGGCTTAGGGGTTAGGGTTGACAAGCTCTCCAGAGTTCAAGATCTTAAGGAACTCAGAAATTGGGGTGCTCTTCTATTTGGAGCCCTTGTCAGCAAGGGAAAGGCGAGCACGGAAAATAATCTCTGGACCCTGAGCCTCAAACAAAAAACACAAACTGAGGCCTTAACATCCCTGAAATTGTACTTAGAATCATAATACTAATCCTACGAACAATCATCATCATCATCATCATCACCATCATGGTCATCGTCATCGTCATCATCATCATCATCATCACCATAACCATAATTATAAGAATATTGCTAAGACCAATATCCCAAAGCCTCCCGAAACCCGAAAGCCAACCCCGGAGCCGGGAGGCCGGTATCCTCTGCGCTGCCTGGAGCTGCGCCTCAGGTGCCCAGGAGTGTTCAGTAGGGTTTGGGGTTTGGGGTTTGGGGTTTGGGGTTTAGGGTTTAGGGTTTAGGGTTTAGGGTTTCGGGTTTAGGGTTTAGGGTTTAGGGTTTAGGGTTTAGGGTTTCAACCCCAAACTCACCCCCAACCACACGGGTTTCTGAGGGAAGCGCCAAGAGGACGGGCGCCACGACTGCAGCCTAGAGCGGGGAGGGGTTTAGGATTTGGGGCGTTTGGGGTTTAGGCTCTTAAGAGGCTGGAGGGCTTAGGGTGTAGGAGTTTAGGGCCAAGACTCGGCCATTCTCACACACTCTGAGCAGCTGGTAGACTTTGCGCGTTGAGGTTTGGGAAGAAGTAGGGCTCCTAAGTCGAAGTAGAAAAAGCACCGGCAGCTTTTCAGAGATTTCGGGTCCGGTTTATTCAGAAATTTTTGAAGCCCCTATGAACAAACAGCAAGTCGGAGTTTCCGGTACTCGGCACTTTTGATATTTCAGAAGGGACCTGGGCATGAAGCGGCACCCAGAATGTCATGTCTCAGCCTAAAAATACACTCACCAGTATTTACAAGGAAGCCTAAAGACGCTCGTCAAGAATCACAGGATACGCCCGACTTCACCTGAAGGGCCCCCAACATGACTTTTTGGAGTCCGGGGCCTACAGCACAAGCCAGTCTCGGGGCATGCATTAATAGGGTTGTGGGGTTCAGGGTTGTTGGGGTTAAGTAGGTTTGGGGTTTCGGGTGTCTTCCTTGTCGTTGAGAGCGTGAACCCCCAAAAACGTTGCCATGATTGCTATGATTCCCAGTGGGACATATACTGAACCCAAACAGTCGGACAGAGATGCACAACAAAAACTAGCAAGATCAGAGGAATCAGAGGCAGAAGGAGCATCAACACAACGCGAACTCGGAAACACCACAAAGCTCAACTCCCCCGAGTCCGTAGGGCTAAATGGGGCCCTAAACCCTGAACCCTAAACCCTAAACCCTAAACCCTAAACCCCAAACCCCAAACCCCAAACCCGTGCCTTGAGCGAGCGCCTGGGCCACGAGCCCCAACCCATGGGGTCGTCGCCCTTTGGCGACACCCGCACGAAAAGGCCTTCGAGGGGCTCATGGTGTCTGATTTGGGTTTTAGGGTTTAGGGTTTTAGGGTTTTTGGGTTTAGGGTTTAGGGGTTTGGGGTTTAGGGTTTAGGGTTTAGGGTTTGGGGTTCCAGCGGGGTCGGCGGCTTGAGCCGGAGGCTCTTAAATTTAGGGTAGCCCGGGGAAGAAGGTCTGCCCTAAGAGTTTATGCTAGCGCCATCGGGTCCGCATGCGGTCACTTCTCTAAGTGCGGGACCCCCAGTTGGACCTCATACTTTTAGGGCACCCAAGAAAAAATCCTATTTTTGTCATGAGTTCCCCTACTACCGCCCTCTATACTACCCTCCCCCCTAGGTTCCTCCCGTAACTATAAGGCTATTCAGGGATAATTAAGGTTCTTGAAGGTGAAAGCCTAACAGGGGTAGTATAGTTGGGGGTAGGTGGGAAGCCCAAACATATAACCCTCCCAAACCCTCCCAAACCCTAAACCCTAAACCCTAAACCCTAAACTCCCGCCGGCCTGATTTTTGCAAGGAAACGGATCCGGGCTGGCCCCAGAACTCCGGCGCCGGAGCCGACAAACGCAGCGGGCCGAGCAGGTCCCAGGCTCAGTGACAGTCTAACCGGGTTCTTTGGGGCTGAGGGGGTTTGGGGTTTAGGGTTTAGGGTTTAGGATTTAGGGTTTAGGGTTTAGGGTTTAGGGGTTTAGGGGTTTAGGGTTTAGGGTTGGGGGTTTAGGGTTTCGGGTTTAGGGTATTTGGAGGGGGCTTTGCGGGGAAGTATTTCAGAGGCCCTGAAGCCACTGAAGCCCGTCTCGGAAGTCAGAGGTTTGCCTTCAGAAAGCCCCCAAACCTTCTCTTACTAGGGGTCGGGTTTAGGGTTTAGGGTTTAGGGTTTAGGGTTTAGGGTTTAGGGTTTAGGGTTTAGGGTTTAGGGTTTAGGGTTTAGGGTTTAGGGTTTAGGTCTTAGGGTTTAGGGTTTAGCTCTCCTTTGTGCTTCCGGATGCGGGCGTCGGCCATGATCGCGCAGCCCTGCCTCTCGAAGAGTGCAAGTAGCCGTTTTTGGATGGCATGGCTCTGAATCATCAGAAACCCGATTAAGCCCCTAAACCCTAAACCCTAAACCCTAAACCCTAAACCCTAAACCCGCAAACTGGGGGGATCTTGATCGCCTGACTTCGAGCCGCAGGGAGGCACCGGAAAGTGAGACGCGAAACCGAAGTCCGAGCTTCAGGCGCCTCTTTGCCCAGACTCCGGTGTTTTGGGAGCTTAGGGTTTAGGGTTTAGGGTTTAGGGTGTAGGGTTTAGGGTTTAGGGTTTAGGGTTTAGGGTTTAGGGTTTAGGGTTTAGGGTTTAGGGTTTCGGGTTTAGGGTTTAGGGTTTAGGGTTTAGGGTTTAGGATTTAGGGTTGCGAGTTGTTAAGGCTCAGATGTTCCCCGGGAAAACATCCCAGTGTGTACGGCCTTATGGATTTAGGGGTTTGGGGTTCAGGTGTGAGGGGTGTGGGGATTTGAGGGTTTAGGTCCCTGGTCCACGTTTGGGTGAACTGCCGTGCATCTACGTACGGGTGAAACCAAGAGCGGCAAATTCGTTGGTCGAGTTGGATGCCCATTATGCACCCTTGTTCTTGTCCATCCTTGGCGCGCGGGGAGATCTGCATGGGGTAACCCTCACCCCGTGCTTTCAAAACAATATAGGCAGAACATGGCAGAACCCTCGCGCCCCAACCTCAAAACCCTAAATCCAAACCCTAAACCTCGCACCCTAAACCCTGAAACCCCTAAGCCTCCCGTCACAGCCAGGCTACATCAAGCCCTTCTGCTTCGCCAGCGCTTCCACGTACTCCTGGTTTTGGCATTCAGGCTTTTGGGGGTTTAAAGTTTTGGGGTTCAGGTGACGGGTTAAGAGTTTACGGGTTAGTGACGTTTAGCCTAGGAGTCCAACATCCGCAGCGCTAAGTCCCTGAACCCCAAACCCGAAACCCTAAACTCCTTAGAGCCGGCGAACCCTCACCTTAAACCCTAAACCACTAAACCCTAACTTGGGATGTTCCAACTAGAATTTGGGGTACTACGATCCCTCTTGAGGACTGTTAGTATAAGGGGGAACATCCCAACCCTAAACCCTACACCACTAAACCCTCAGCCAGGGAGCCGAATAGAAGTTTTTCTGAAGGAAGTGCTTCTTGTCCACCCGGTCAGCCTGGGAGTTGTGCTGGTCGACCGTCTAAAGCTTACGGCTTTTGGGGTCCACAGGGTTTAGGATGCCTTTAGGGTTTAGGGCTTGGGGTTTAGGGTTTAGCTTAGGACTGTTGGGGGTATGGCGTTTAGGATGCTTAAAGGGTTTAGGGTTTCGGGTTTAGGAAGCTTCGGGTTTGACACTACGCACTATGCTTACTACTATGAATATTGCTACCGAGCATCACCGTGAATGCTACCATGATTGCTGCTGGTCCTCTTACTACGACAATGACTATGAACAGTACCATGAAAGTTCTGTAAACATGTCAGGTAGCGAAGGTTGCTGTTTCTATTCCTGGTTCTCTTACTTGTCAAGCCGATTGCCACTCTAGGCTTCAGGAACCGAAGCTCTGATGCTCGAGAGAAAAAACCTGCAGAATCCCTAAACCCTAAACCCTAAACCCGAAACCCTAAACCCTAAACCCCTTAAACCATAATCCTGGCTCAGGGCCCCAGACCAGGTGGCCCTCGAACTGATGGGACAGCGTATAGGTGCTACCTTGCTGGGCTCCAGGCAGTTCTTTGAGTTTTGGTCAGGGTTTAGGGTTTAGGGTTTAGGGTTTAGGGTTTAGGGTTTAGGGTTTAGGGTTTGGGGTTTGGGGTTTGGGGCTTGGGGTTTGCGGTTTGGGGTTTGGGGTTTGGGGTTTGGGGTTTGGGGTTTGGGGTTTGGGGTTCGGGGTTTAAGGTTTGGGGTTCGGGGTTTGGGGTATGTGGTTTGGTGTTTAGGGTCCGGGGGGAAGAAAGGCTTCGGAGCACCGTGGGTTCTGGGGGGCTCCTCAACCCTGAACAAGAAGACCTGGAAGCGGCCTTGCATTGCAGATTTCGGGTTTGACAGAATCCCAAGGACAAGCCTAAATTGACAAAGCCGTCCTTCCCCTGCCACGGAGCAAGAACTTCCCACTTTCTTTCCCCAAACCTCTAAACCCGTGAACCCCAAAAAGCCGAAACCCCTAAACCCGGAACCCTAAGCCCTTCATCCCCTAAACCCAAACCCTGAAACCTCAAACCTCGAAACAAGCCGGAACCCGACACCCTATATGTAGTTCTCTTAAACCCTAAACCCTAAACCCTAAACCCTAAACCCTAAACCCTAAACCCTTTTTGGGTCCCCCAGGTGTACGAGAACTACCTCAGGATGTTCCCCCTTACAGTCCTTAATAGGGATTCATAAGAGGGGGGGCACTACAATCCCGATTCAGGACTGCTAGTATAAGGGGTTACATCCCAAGTTCCCTAAACCCGAAACCCCAAACCCTAAACCCTAAACCCTAAACCCTAAACCCTAAACCCTATACCCATACCCTGTTAAGGACTGTTAGTAGAAGGGGGAACATCCCAAGGTTCCCTTACTTATAAGGGGGAACATTCCAAGACCTACCCCCTAAACCATAAACCCTTAACCCTACACCCTAAATCCTAAACCCTAAACGGGGAACATCCCAAGAACTACCCTCTAAACAAAGTGCTGCCAGTTCGCAGTCGTCAGCTGGCAGCCGCGGATCGGTGAAGATGGAAGTCACGTGATCCACCTTACACTCAGGGTTTAGGGTTTAGGGTTTCGGGTTCATGCTTTAGGGTTTCGGAAGTATCCTACCGCGCTACGGCCATTTTTTCCGGAGTTCATATTTCAGGTGGCGGGAAGCCTGACCCCTGAACACATCGGCCGCACGACCCCACAAGTGCTTCTCCAGGTTCTCCTAAATGAGCTCAGGTTTACCTTTGGGATGCGAGGTTCCTACTATACCACCATAGGATTTCAGGCTTAGTGTGCGGCTGATACTTACCCGAAAAAGATGAAGGCTGCGTGCTCGATCACTCGTCAGGCTGGCGGGCTGCTGGGGGAGGGAGGGGGGAAGAGGAGATGCAGGCCAGCCAGCCCCGAAACCGGTTTCGCCTTCGGGTTTTGTGGGGGTAGATAAGTCATGTGAACCACAAGGTGGGCCAGCATGGACCCTCAACAGCTCAAGGGACGACAGGAGTGCGGTTTCGACCATGGAACGCACACGGAACGTCGGTGAGAGCGGCATCTGTCATGCCGGAGCGACGCCACCCACTGGTATGTTACGATGAAAATCACGTTCCCCCTAATGCGCAGAGAGGCCCTGCTTGCACGCATTTTAAAAGCCTTCTCAACCCCATGAGTTTAAAACCCCCCAACTGGCGGGGGGCGGCTAAACCCCAAACCGTAAAGGGCACCTTGTGCTTGCGCTTGATGTCGGCTACGAACGCCGGGTCCATGACCACCTCCTGCCTGGATTTAGGGATTGGCTCAGGGCCTGCTGATGGTTGCTTAAGTTGGACAATTAAAGCGGCTTGGTATGTTTTTGTAATGTAACCCTATAAACCCTACACACCCAAAACCCTAATGTGGGCATTTCACCAAATGCGGGGTGCCCTTAACATACCCCCAAGTAGTACAATCCTGATTACAGGACCCCCTGAAAAGGGTACCCCCACTTTCGGCTAGTCTCATCTAGGGTCTATAGCTCTTGAGGGTTCAGGTTTACGGTTTAGGGTTTAAGGTTTGGGGTTTAGGGATTAGGGTTTAGGGTTTAGTGTTTAGGGTTTAGGGTTTAGGGTTTAGGGTTTAGGGTTTAGGGCTTAGTTCAGGCTACGGCTCATGTCTGAATGCTCCACACACATCCAGGCACGCCTAGTCCCTTCGGAGATCGCGATCTCCCGCATGAGGCCTCTCGCACCACACAGAAATCCTAAACCCTAAACCCCTAAATCCCTGGTTAAACCCTAAACCCTAAACCCTAAACCCTAAACCCTAAACCCTAAACCCTAATCCCTAAACCCTAAACCCTAAACCCTAAACCCTAAACCCTAAACCCTAAACCCTAAACCCTAGCCCTAAACCCTAAACCCTCAACCCTAAAACCCACACAACCCCATTCGACTGGCCAGATTTTCCCCTGGAGCCTAGGGAGCCAAACTTGGCCCTGGAGCCCACAGCTCCGAACCCTGTAGTGCTTAGGGTTTGGTTTAGGGTTTAGGGTTTAGGGTTTAGGGTTTAGGGTTTAGGGTTTAGGGTTTAGGGTTTAGGGTTTAGGGTTTAGGGTTTAGGGTTTAGGGTTGAGGGTTGAGGGTTTAGGGTTGAGGGTTTAGGGTTGAGGGCCTGAGGGTTTGGGGTTTTAAGTCTAGGGTCAGGGTTCCAAGTTTAAAGTTTAGGGTTCAGGGCTTGGGCTTACAAGTTTAAAGTTTGGGGTCAGGGTTTGGGGTTTCAAGTTTCATGTTTAGGGTTCAGGGTTGGGGTTTAAAATATAGAATTCAGGCTTGGGGGTTAAAGTTTAGGGTTCAGGGTTTGGGGTTTGAAGCTCAGGGTTTGAGGGGCTTAGGTTTCTTTTGCAGCTTGGGGGCTTTTAGTACCCTAAACCCTAAACCCTAAACCCTAAACCCTAAACCCTAAACCCTAAAGCCTAAACCCTAAACCCTAAACCCTAAACCCTAAAAGGACTTAAGGGAACCCTGGGGCCCACAACGTGCCGGCGCCGCGTTTCACCTTGGGGTCCATGTGCACAGGGGCATCCGGCTGCGAAGCGTTGACCTCCCAGAGGGCGGCGTTCTGGTGGATTCTTTTGTCTTTATTTCTTCTCTTCTTATCAGTACTACTGTTCTTGTTCTTGTTCATGATGTGTCTTTTTCCCTTTTTCGCTCTTCTGCTTCTTAGTGCTACTGTTCTTGCTGTTGTTAATGTGTTTTTCTGGTTTTTTTTGGGGGGGGTTCAGGGTTCGGGGTTCAGGGTTTGAGTTTAGGGCTTCGGGTTTTCATAGGACTGAGATGTAGGTCTTGCATGAGGTGCGAGCAACTACACGCCGCAAGCGAGTTGCCAAGTCCCCTGCCCCACCCAAGCTAACCCTGAAACTCTTTCAAGACCTCACCACAGTACTCAAAGACCAGGGCCCTAAGCCGTAAAACCCTAAGCCCTAAACCCTAAACCCTAAACCCTAAACCCTAAACCCTTCGAGTCATAATCCCTCAAGCTGGCTGGCCCCCGAGATGCCTCCAGCCCTTAGGACCCCTTGCTGCCATTACAACTAGGATGGCCCTTAAAACCCTCTGAAAAACATTCCTACCATGTGATCCTCTTAAACCCAAGAGGGGAAATATAAAGTATCCCAAAGGTCTTCCTAGACAATGAGTTGAGAGTTTAGGGGGTCGGCCTGAGGGCCCGACATGAGGGCCCGAGCAGCCAGTCGTATAGCACCAGACACTCGATTGCCCCACTTGAACAAGGCCTGTCAGCCTGATGCTCCGCTACGGCAATACCTAGTCCCCTGAACCCTTGACACCCTGAAGCCCTGTAACCCTGATCCCTAAACCCTAAGCCCCAAACCCTGAACCCTAAACCATCACAGCTCAAACCCCTCAATCCTACTGTAATACCCTCTAAACCCTAGTTGCGAACATCCCGCAATCCTCTTTCCCTGAGGGTTCGAACCCTTATTCAGCAAACCCTTCCCAGCCCGAAGACCTAAAACCTTAAATGCCCGAAAAGCCTAACCCTAAAACCCTAAAACCCTAAAACCCCCAAACCTTTGAAACTAAAGCCGTTAAAACGCCAAAAACAACCTAAAGCCCCTAAGCCCTCAACCCTAAACCACCCGAAGTCTGGATGTTTGGGGTCTTCCCTAAACCCGAAACCCCAAACCCTAAACCCCAAACCCCAAGCCCTGAACCCTCTAAACCCCAAACCCTAAACCCTCTAAACCCCAAACCCTAAGGCCGCCAGGCCTTTGCGCTCCCTGTGGCGATGGCCTCCTGGGCCAGAAACTCCCGGGGGAGCCTGGCATTCAAGGGCTCAAGGTTGGGATCTTCCCCCTTAGGGTTTAGGGTTTAGGGTTTAGGGTTTAGGGTTTTAGGGTTTAGGGTTTAGGGTTTAGGGTTTAGGGTTTAGGGTTTAGGGTTTAGGGTTTAGGGTTTAGGGTTTAGGGTTTAGGGTTTAGGGTTTAGGGTTTTCAGTCCTTAATAAGTACCCCCGATTATCTGAAGGACTGTTAGAAGAAGGCGGCATTCCCAGGGCTTTGGGGGGCGTTTAGGGGTTTTAGGGGTTTTAGATGGCTTTTCAAGCTTTTTTGGGCTCTTTTTGGGGTTTAGGGCTTTTGGGGCTTTTAAAGAGTTTATAGCTTTGAAGCGTTTTAGTGTTTTGGGCTGGTTTCGGGCTTTAGGGTTTAGGGGCTTCGGGCTTAAGGTCTACGGCTCGGGCTTAGTATTTCAGCTCTCGGGGTTTAGGTCGGGGCGTTGATCATAGAGAGTAGCCATAATCGTAATTTAACTGCAAAACAGAACAAGTCAGAACAGAATTGAACAGGTGAGAAAGGGTCCAAGCTTCCGGGGGGGGCTGATGTGCGGGAGGGAGGGGGGGGTTGGGGCTTGGGGCTTAGGGCTTAAGGTTTTGGGGCTTGGGGATTAGGGTTGGGTTTGGTTTCGCCACACGTTGCGCGCCTGTCCATCTTCAGATATGCTCGGCTCTTTCCCTGATCGCCAACCTTGGATGCAGTTCATTAGGAGCGGAGATGCGGTGAAAGTTTGCCAGCAATAACCTCTACAGCATGAACCCTAAACCCTACACCCTAAGTGCTTCTTGAAAAGCCAAGTCCTTGTGCTTGAGAGATCGTAGCACACAAATCACAACGGAACATTTCACTGCCATACTATCAAATATCTAAGGGTTCTGTGATTAACACCCTGAAATACAGCCAGGGTGCCACGGCCCAATACAAGTGCTAGGGAAAGGCCTGTTTGCTGCGAGGGCTGCGAAACTTTCCAGCTTGCCCACGTGCACAATCCCCCCGACCTCGAAGCCTACGTCTGGCACTTGCATCTACCAAACCAATGGAAACCTATCGGTTTAGGACTTCGGGTGTTTTGGGCTGTCTTTACTATGATCCGCGAAGCCCTCTGGGGCTGCGACTGCTTCGCAGGTGGAGATCTCGCGCTCGTAAGTTGTCCTTGCAAGAGATGTTGAGTTTTTGTGTGCCCTTCACAAGCTGCAGTTTTGCGTTTTGCACCGAAGTCTGAAACATCTAGCACATCAGGTGTACATCATGTCCGAGTGGCTCTATATAGGTTGTGGCTACTGCCCTGTTGCACGCGATTTGCACCGCCTGCGCAGGAACAATAATTCGAAGATTGGGTTCTAGGGGTTTGGGGTTTAGGGGTTAATGGGCGTGCGCCAAGCCGCACCGCATTCAGGGGATGTGTGGCACCCATAGAAGCAGCAAGGTCAAGCCCCCTTTGACACTCCGGAGAATGGGAAAGGAGGCAGACCACAAGCATCCGAAAGCATCACCCCTTTCGGGCTCCAATTCTTAGATTTTTCGGTTAGGGTTTAGGGTTTAAGGTTCCATTCCACCAAACCCACTCCCCCATCGGCATTTGGGCCGCGAACCAATTCGCTATGTTGTTCCACGAGGACGTTAAACCGTCGCGTCGACATGGCAAACATGCGAACAGGAAGTCACACTCAGCTCACATTGCACATCCAAAAACCCTTGGCCTGAACACGCTGAATGCCTGCGCCTCGTTAGAAGCCGAAGTGATCGAATAAATCCTTTTATGAAAACGTGCATCTTGGCAGATGGGCTGCCGCACCTGCCTAGTTAGGGCGTAGCGTTGACACAAACACGAATGCCTCTAGGGGCGCTCCCTGCTCCTGAGCTGTTTAGGGTCTAGGGTTTAGGGCTTAGGGCTTTGGGCTGAGGGCTTAGGGTTTAGGTTTAGGGTTTAGGGTTTAGGGTTTAGGGTTTAGGGTTTAGGGTTTAGGGTTTAGGGTTTGGTTTAGGGTTTAGGGTTTAGGGTTTAGGGTTTAGGGTTTAGGGTTTAGGGTTTAGGGTTTAGGGTTTAGGGTTTAGGGTTTAGGGTTTAGGGTTTAGGGTTTAGGGTTTAGGGTTTAGGGTTTAGGGTTTAGGGTGAGAGGCGAAGCAGGACTCGTCAGCTCCGGCGACTGGGGATTGCTCACGTTCGATTGGGCAGCAACAGTGCATGCAGTCATGCTCTTGCAATCGATCAGTGGTGGGCGCACGCAGGGCCTCTCTGTACCTTCCTTGACAGAGTTCGTGCTGAACTTGACACCCAAGCGCGAGCCTGGCCAACCTGAAGAAAAAGTGGGGGGGCTTTGCGATCGTTAGGGACCCCAAATATAGACCCACCAGCTAGTAGGAGTCCCTTATAATATGGACCCCAATAAGGGGTACCCGGAATATCGTAAACCCCCAAGCGACAATCGAACAAGCGAGGATTCACTTGCGCTGCTACAGATGCATCTGTGCAGGAATGCGCTAGCACAGCCAACACTGGCAAGGTTTGGGATGTCTCGAACTTTATGCCATGTGTTCAGGGCTTCGGGCTTAGAATTCTCTAAGCTATCCTCCCTTTGCGGGTTTCCCGCATCCACACGGAGCCTTAACCCCAAAAGCAGAGAAACTCAGAAGTTATACGCGTTCACCCCGAGGATCTCAGGACCGTGATGTTGGCCCCCCAAAGACCTCGAACAGGACGTCCAGAAAGCTTCGGGCTTGGAGGGCTTCGTCGGGGGGTGTAGGGTTTAGGCTCCGGGTTTCGGGCTTAGGGTTTTTGGCTTGTATCACGGGGGAGGGGGCGTGGGCATCGACCTCGGGGTTGATAATCCCCAAACCCTAAACCCAAAACTCTCGACCCAAAACCCTGCTCTCTGCACGTCACTCGACCCTGTAAGAGAAAGGAGGAAGCATCAAATGTTGGAGCCCCCGGCCGCAAGATGCGGCACCTTCCCAAGAACAAAGGCCATCCTGAGTAAACTCGAGCTCGGAAGACACCCCAATCTCTCCCCCCCACCCCCAACCCCAGCCCTAAGCCGCAAACCCTAACCCCCCCCCCCTTCTGCTCCACTTGGGTACCCCAAACCCTAAACCCTAAACCTAAACCCTTCTTGACTTGGGCAAAAACGGATCTCCTTCGGCCACCATCCGGAGGTGCATAGTGAAGCAAGGTGAAAGGTGTCCTTGGCTTCGAGGGATCCGGGGTTGGGGGGGGTTTAGGGTTTAGGGGTTTAGGGTTTAGGGTTACGGGTTTAGGGTTTCGGGTTCAGGGTTAGGGTTTAGGGTCTAGGGTTTAGGGCTTCGGGGCTTAGGGGCTCGTCGGTTGGAAAGGAGAGGGCTCTTCAGTGCTCACTTGCCCCCTACGGGGTTTAGGGCTTAGGGTTTAGGATTTAGGGTTTAGGGTTTCGGCCCTCCTCTCCGCGGGTGGATGTGGGCCCTCGTCAGGGAGAATGTAGGGGCATCTAAGGACAGGGCCCAATGAAGAGCAATTCGGAGCCCTAACCCCTGAGCCCTAACCCTACACTCCGACTCTGAAGTCCAACAGTGGGGTTTAGGGACTTAAGGGTTTCGGGTTTAAGGGTTTAAGGAGGTTCGGGTTTCGGGTTTAGGGGGCAAGAAATGTCCCCAACATAAACTCTTGCCACGCATCACCGGAGGTCGGAAGGCAATTTCCTGAGACTTGGGGCTTGCGCATGCAAGGCACCGGTAGGGCGCCGGTGGGGGAATTGTGGGCTTCTGGGCTTTCGGGGGGGGGGGGGAGGGGGGGTTCGGGTTTGGGGTGTCTAAGGTTCAAGGGTTTCGGGTTTTGGGTTGAGTGGGGTTATTGATGTTTTGGGCTTGGGGTTAGGGGCTGAAGGTCTGCAAACCTGAAAGTCCCAAGTCAGCCCGAGGGCCCTTTCCCTAAACCCGAAACAGACGGAGCAGGGGAGAGTGCGAGGAGTGGGAGGAGGGAGATCCTGGAACAAAAAGGCTGAGCTTGAAACCTCACCGGCGCTTTTGATGGCCATGCTTGGCATGCCGGAGGCCGACCAAGCTCTACTACAGCTACTTGGCTTGGGCCGAAGGATAGGGTTGAGGGTTTAGGGTTTAGGGTTGAGGGTTGAGGGTTGAGGGTTTAGGGTTTAGGGTTTAGGGTTTAGGGTTTAGGGTTTAGGGTTTAGGGTTTAGGGTTTAGGGTTTAGGGTTTAGGGTTTAGGGTTTAGGGTTTAGGGTTTAGGGTTTAGGGTTTAGGGTTTAGGGTTTAGGGTTTAGGGTTAGGGTTTAGGGTTTAGGGTTTAGGGTTTAGGGTTTAGGGTTTAGGGTTTAGGGTTTAGGGTTTAGGGTTTAGGGTTTAGGGTTTAGGGTTTAGGGTTTAGGGTTTAGGGTTTAGGGTTTAGGGTTTAGGGCACCCCCTGAGATGCGCAGAGAGCGAAGGCCTGGAATCTAGGCCTGCCACTGCCAAGAAAATCGTACCTCCGCGCTGGTAAAGCCTGGAAAACCCCCCGCACCAACGAATCCGAACTTCTGAATTCCTAGCCCTAAACCCTAAACCCTAAACCCTACTCCAGCGTACAAAGCAAGGGCACACCAAGAGCCCCAAACCGGAAGCCCGACCTAGATCGAGAAGGAGCGCGTGGCCCGAACCCACCCTCCTAAACTCTGCAGAACCCACCCTAAACCCTAAACCCTAAACCCTTAACCCTAAACCCTAAACCCTAAACCCTAAACTCCGCATGCTGGATTGCGATGCAGTTTCCGATCGATCTTCGACTGGCAATGTGGGAATTTGCCCGAAAAGTGGGGACCCTCTGATCATAAGGATCATCCTTGCTCTAGGAACCCCTGACCACCCATATGGGGAAAACCCGTGCTTTGGGGCTCACAACTGCAGGGAATCCGAAGGCTGTGTGGCTCGAGCGCCGTCTTTTTTCAGGCGGAACAGCTGGGCAGCACTATTAAAAAGTTGGATGCCTTGCGTGTAAGCGATTGCGCGTGTGCAAACCCTAAACCCTGCAAACCCGATGAACCCTACCAACCCTCAACCCTCTCAACCCTGTCGACCCTATCAACGCTATAAACCCTGTCAATCCTATGAATCCTATGAACCCTAAACCTTGGACGTGCTTGGCGTGGCCTGCTCGTGCAAGGCCCTGCCAGCTTAGGTTCCTCCCTGCCACTCTTAGGGTAGTTACATGGTCCCTTAACATGGGCCCTTAATTAAAAGGCTACCCCTTATACCCTGTACAAGTTAAGGCCCCCCTTACATCAGAACCCTTTAAAGGAGGCTAGGGCCCAAGTGAAGGGCACATAGTAGTACTACCCTAAGAACAGCCAAAGAGCCGGGAACCAAAGGGGTCGCTTTTGGGTGCTTCTGGTCGGCGCTTTCTCAGAGGGGGCTAGACTCTCAAGGCTTCCTGTTTGTGGGGCGCTAAACCCTAAACCCTAAACCCCAAACCCTAAACCCTAAGCCCTTTGGGAAGCCGGAAACGTGGGCTCCCTGGATTTGGACTCACTTCAGGAGGTTCGCCTCGGTGATGTCCACGGCTTCTTTCAAGGCCTCGGCCTTCATCACGCGCATGGCCTGGTTGAAGGGTTTAGGGTTTAGGGTTTGGGGTTTGGGGTTTAGGGTTTAGGGTTCAGGATTTAGGGTTTAGGGTTTAGGGTCCTGGATGAAGGGCTTTTCCCGGGGTTGCTTAAGGGTTGAGAGGGTTTCTAGGGTTTATAGGGTTCATAGAGTTTATAGGGTTCATGGGGTTTATAGGGTTTATAGGGTTTCTAGGGTTTATAGGGTTTAGGGATTACAGTTTAGGGTGTATAGGTTTAGAGTTTAGGGGCGCCTGGTTGAAGGGCTTTTCCGGGGTTGCTTTGGGTTTAGGATTCAGGATTTAGGGTGTATGGGGCAGAGGGTTTAGGGGTTTAGAGGCTTGGGTTTGTATTTGTCTTAGTTTTTTGGGGGGAGGGGGAGGTTAGAAGGGATTTAGGAGGGGCTTACAGGTTTTAGGGGTTTGGGGTTTCGGAGTTGAGGGTTTAGGGGTTAGTTTCAGGGGGTTTAGAAGGGACTGATAGGGTTTAAGGGTTTGGGTTTTACAGGGTTTCAGGGGGCTGGGGTTTATAGGGTTTAGGGTTTATAGGGTTTATGGGCTTAGGTTAGGGCTTAGAGGTTTAAGGTATTGGGATGATGGATCTAAAGAAGTTGGCTCCAGAGTCATACTACGAATAATCAACACCTCCTGCCACTGAGTACAATCCTTGAAAAAAGCCCTCTAAGCTCTGAGATTGCTACTATACGCCTTCAAAGCTGCCCTAAACCCACAATAACCCACACGCACGCCGGCCAACTTAGCGGGATCGCCTTGGCTCGCTCGTTGTCGTTTCTTGCCTTCAAGACCTGAGCAGCAGCCGCTCTGAGCAGCAAACAGTCTCTATTGGGGCCTGGGCCCTTGAGGGTTTAGGGTTTCGTGCTTAGGGCTTCGGACACCCTAAACCCGAAACCCGAAAAGACCAGGAAAAAATGGCGTGATTTGCAGGCCATCCAGACCCAAACAATGCCCTGAAACAGCTCAACAGCCCCCCCAAGCTGCAAACTGAATCTGCATGTTCGGTGCTGCCAGGGTTGAGGGTTTAGGGTTTGGGGCTTGCCTCTAGGCTTGGGAGCAGATGGAAACACCGAACTACTGCTGCCCAGGCGCATTCTCCTTCATCTTGGCATACTTCTGCCGCACAAAGTCTGCGTTCGCCTACCACAAAAAAACTTGGGGGGGACTTGCCACCATGACCTCCCTAAATTGAGGGATTTATGGCGGGCGCCCAGCTCCCAAGCTGCTAAGAACCAGTGAGCTGGGGCTTTTGCATCCTGGTACTCCTGGTTGTAGTTGTAAACCGTCTCGGAACTGTCCTGCGGAGCTGGCCATCTGAGGTTCTTCTCCCTGGCCCAAGAACCCAAGGAAATAAAAGTTGGAACTTTCAGAATCAACTACCTTATAAGAAGCCCAAGAGTTGAAAAGTTGGGTTTTGAGCTAGCAAGCATTTAAGAGGGATTTGCACACGAAACAACATGCACCCGTCGCCAGAGCCTTCATCCCGGGAATGGATCGTCGGGGGCTTGGGTACGCACCGGGATCCGGACCAACCCTAAACCCTAAACCCTAAACCCTAAGCCCATATTTTGGAATCCTCCGGCTCTCTGAGGATCATCTTCCTTACCTCCCTGATGTACTCTGCCACCTCATCCTCAGGAGTTTTGGGCTGAGGCTTGAGGGTTTAGTGTTTAGGGGTTTCAAAATTTAGGAGTTTAGGAGTTTAGGGTTCAGGAGGTTAGGGTTGAGGGTCCTGGGCTCAAGTTTCTTTTGAAGGAAGATGGGGGGGGAAAGATGGGGGGGGAAACCCTCAACACGGCGCTGTGTACTAAAAAAACCCCCAATCAACTCCGACCCCTAAACCCCCAACAAACTGCCAGCAGACCTCCAGAACGCCAAGCCCTTTACCAAGCCGAAGCAAGCTCTACGAAGAACCCTTTCAACCTGCAACCCTATAAATAAGCCACTAGAAAACCTTAGAAAAAAAGAAAGCAAAACTATAAACCCCTAGAACAACCCCAGAAAACCTTATGACATCTCTAAACCCTCATCCCTCAACCCTTTGGGGGGGCAGGGAGACTTCTGGCGGCCCGGAGGCATCGATGGCGTCCGCATAGGCCGGCGTGCTCTGCAGGCCCAGGGCCAAGCCAAGGAGGAGGGCAGCACCTTTGCAGTGCTTTGGGAGGTTGGGTCGAGGGTTTGGGGTTTCGGGTTTGGGGTTTAGGGTTTAGGGTTTAGGGTTCAGGGTTCAGGGTTTAGGGTTTCGGGTTTGGGGTTTAGGGTGTCGAGCCTCTACCACCCCTCCGTTGTGGGTACTCCTCTGCCGTGCCATGACTGGACCCGGCCTGTAGCAGCAACCGGCTGCACCCAGCCTTCCACGTCTGCCGTCCGTGAGGCACCTACATACGACCGAAAAACATCTGGGTGGGGCTTTTTTGGGCTTTGGGCTTGGGTTTAGTGTTTAGTGTTTAGTGTTTAGTGTTTAGGGTTTAGTGTTTAGTGTTTAGTGTCTAGTGTTTAGTGTTTAGTGTTTAGGGTTTAGGGTTTAGGGTTTAGGGTTTAGGGTTTAGGGTTTTTAGGGTTTTTAGGGTTTTTAGGGTTTTTAGGGTTTTTAGGGTTTTTAGGGTGTCTAGGGTTTTTAGGGTTTTTAGGGTTTTCAGGGTGTTTAGGGTTTTTAGGGTTTTTAGGGTTTAGGGTTTAGGGTTTGAGGTTTAGGGTGTGAGGTTTAGGGTTTAGGGTTTAGGGTTTAGGGCTTGACCATGCCGCAAACGGTAAACGGCTGCGGATGCTGGAGTACGAACGGACCGGGCCTGGGGAGGGCCCCGCAGGCACTGAAGCAGCTCTGGAAGTGGCTTTCTCTTGCATGGAGGTTCATGGTACTTACTGACCAATTTTTACCTGTACTTATTTGCTGTACAAAAAACCATATTAGGGCACTTAATGGGCTTATAAGTGGGTTATAAGTACAGTTTACTTGTGCCACGAGCCTCCAAGTAGGGTTTAGGTTCAGGGTCCTCCGACGCAGTGCCCATCTTGCCTGCAGCCGGCGCCACACCAGGAGCGCCAGGCGCCTGCCTGAAGGTTTAGGGCTTTGGGGTTTAGGGTTTAGGGTTTTGGGTTTAGGGTGTTGGGTTTTTGGGTTAGGGTTCAGGGCCTCTACAGATCCCAGACGACCTCGCGCAGCGCGCCGCATTGAACACAGAATTGTCGTCCAGTTTACGGGTGTCCTTAACCCAAGGCTCCATACTGCAATAGGCACCCCTAATCTCCTCCCCTAAACCCTGAACCCTACCCACCCCAAACCCTAAACTACAACCCCTAAGCCCGCCACCCTTCTCGCCTTGGAAGGTGGGTGGAGTCGAGCGCTCAGCGAGACCAGGGGCAGGCTTTGCTAGGCTGGGCACACCCTTGAGGGGTCGCCGAGCTAGAGTCGCCTAGCTTCGTCTCAGAGTTCAATGACAGGGGCCCTTCGGTTCGCAGCGCATTGCGGGGGGGTGTTTTTTGCCTTCTGGTCCCGTCCCGGGCGACCAGAAAATCCAATGACTCAGAACTTTCCCAAAAGTTGGCCGCAAGTTTGCTAGGCCCAGACTCACACCCTAGAACATTTTATGCCAGACTGGCCCCTTAAGCAAAAATGTGATGAAGGTCTCCTTTGAACAAGTGACCTCAGAAGTCAAGGAAACCCTTGGCACCCCCTTAAAACCCGGAGGCTGTTCACGCCCCTGGAATTTTCTATGAAAGGCCCCTTTAGCTCGGACCGTCCCCTGCGCAAAAACCTGAGGGGTCTCCTTTGCCTAACCCCCTCAAACCTGCAGACTGCTCACACCCTGGAATTTTCTATGAGAGGGCCCTTCAGCCCAGACCGTCCCTTTGCCTTCTGGCCCCAAGTGACCCACAAGTCTAATCACGGAAGGCTTCCAATTCTCGTAAAAGTTGGCCCTGAACCCTCGTCGGAAGCTGCGGCCTGCAGGGGTCGAACCTAAGTGTCCTCTGAACATGTTCGATACGTGAATTCTGAATGGCTGGCTTGGTTCGGGCTGGCTCCGGTTTGACTTGGCCGTGAGTCGTGATTAGGTGGCCGAAACGCACAAACTAAACCCTAAACCCGGAACCCTAAACCTCCCCCCTTCCCCCCCCCCCTCCCGCCGCCTGGGCTGACTGGGCTGCGTGCCCATTTGCAGGAAGGCTAGCGGTCGCAGAAGCAAGCCTTTGTAGGGCTTGAGGGACAAGAGGTTTCGGGAGGGGGTTTAGGAGGGTGTTGGGGGTGTTGGAGGGTTAGCAGGGTTAGGAGGGTTAGGGGGGTTAGGGTTTTAAGGGGGTGTAGGGGGTTTATTTAGGCTTAGGGTTTTGTGGAGCTTCAGACTCCAGGACGTTCGCGGGCCGCGTTAGGGTTTAGGGTTGCTTTCACTTGGAATCTCGCGCCCTGGACACAGCGATGTAGGGTTGAGGGCTTTCTTTGGTTTGTCGGCCAAGGACTCTTGGGTTTTGGGAGCCACCGTGGAAAGCCTTTTAACGGTTTAGGGTTTAAGGCTTTCAGCGCTTCAGGGATTGAGGGTTTCCAGGTGTAGGGCGTGGAGTTGACTTTCAACAACTGCAAGCAAGCTTTGCAAGCTTCTCTTGCTGCCGGCTGGCCAACTCCAGCAACGCCTACCAGAACCATGAGCGAAGCTCGCGCCATCTTTCCAAAAGGTGGGTGCAGAAGCAAGCTATGTTTAATTCAGGTGAACGTACGTTGAACCTCAGTCCACAACCAATGAGGCTCAAGGAGGACATCCAAGAGAAGAATGCGCATCACATGGACTGCTACTGTACAGATGCCACCCACACGGGTTGACGGGGCTCATGATGTCTGATCACTACGTAAGCAAGCAAAATGCTGTGGAGCCAGGCATGCCCAGAAGTAACAGACACTTGAACACCTGTAGGTGTGCAAATGGGTGCAAATTTTTGGCCTGACTGGGCCTAACTCATAGAACCTCAGATAAATCTAAGCCCGGAACCCCAAACCCTAAATCAACCCTCATCCCAAAATCTCCGCTCTCAACGCAACCGACACTGTAGAGCCTGACAGGAGACAGATTGTCTTGGAGGAGGTGCCGGCCGGAAAGCCGTAGGCGCACACCTAGCGCGCCAACCGCTTCGCGGGCACACAACCAACCTTGCCCGCCAACAGCCCGGTAGTGCAGGCGAGGGCATGGTCGCCCCACGAGCGGCAGGGGCAAGCGAAGTCGTCAGCGCAGGGCCAGCGGCATCATGTCTAACGGCAGGTGAGCCACGCCGTCGCCTCCGGCCTAGACTAGGAAAGCAGCACAGAATTGTGACAAGCGGGGCGCGTACGCGATGCGTGGTACTGCCGGACGCGTGGCCAGTCACCAACTTCTCGGGCCCTTGACCGTGGCGCGGGGCGCGGCAGGCCTTCCTCCAACTCTGACTGCGGAAAAAGAACAGAACCCTCAGGTGGAGTCAACATGT